GCCGGGTTAGGCACATGAGTGTTCTGGATCCAACTGTTATGTGTTATTATGTTTCAGAAGTACTGGATGCTGGGCAGGCTGGACCACTGTTCAAGGTACTAGGAATTTTCCTTTGGTGCAGTAAAATATTTTTATTCCTATTCAGTTCATGTTCAGTCTTGAGTTATTTTCTGTAAAGAAGTTACCGGTGTATTTTTACGATCTGCTCAATTGCTTGTTCATAGCCTCCTGCCAGCTCATGTTCTCTTAGTGAAATCAGACAAAGGTCTAGGAAATTGGTTTTTTCTTTTCTACTTTTTCATCTTTCAAAATATTGGATAATTTTTTTGGCTAAGAAAAAGAAAAAGATAATGGGGAGTTTCAGGAGAGTTTAATTGTTTTCCTTCCTAAAGTTGTTTGGACTGTGTGTTAATGTGACAAAGTAATGCAAGAAGGATATTTATTGAAATGCTGAGATATTCCATAGTCAGCATGGAATGATGCTGCTTTCCATGCATCTTATGATTTCCACGGTTCTTCTATCAGTATATTATTGTAGCTCATTTTGAATGTTTTACCTAGGATATGAGTTAATTGATTTTCGTCAAAGAAAGAATTCATCCTTTAAGATGCCTCTAGTGACAAATACAAGTGAAATGAGATAGCTCCTAATGTTTATATGCATATAGAAAACTCCGGGCATATAAGAACTCTTTTTCTACAGCTTCCCTGAACTCCGGGCAAAACAATATTTAAGTAGTGGTGATAAAAGAGAAAGCTGTATGTATCTTCATATTGTAAACACAAGTGTTTATAATTTATCTGATACATTCTGTTATTTTTCTCCCCCCTTAAGGTTTCTTTGGAGCACTGTCCCAGTGAGGTTTTCATACATAACTCAGCTGGCAGATGCTGGGAAATGGTGCGAGAGAGAGTCAATCAAGAAATCACTAGGCAACATAAATTGGGAAGAATGAACCTTCCTCCTTTGCAGCCACCTGGAAGTCTTGATGGCTTTGAAATGTTTGGGTTTACTTCACCAGCTATTGTACAGGTAAATCTACCAAAGAACTGAGAATTACTTCTCACTATTGCCAAATACCTCTTTATGATCCGACTCATGTTGATTTGGACTTCTATATTTAAAATGCGTGATCTTGCTTTTTATAGATTCATTTTCCCAGTTCCTCTGGTTTACTTCCTCATTTCATGGATTATATATATATTTATTTATTTTTTATAATTGAAGCTTTAATGCTGGACCTTGGACTAGAACCTTCATAGTATGGCTTTCGTGTCATTGCTTGAATTATTAATTTTGAGCTTCATTCATGTTTATTTACTAGTAGATTTATTCTTTTTTAAGGCTAAGCGTTTCTCGATTTTTGTTTTCTTGAACAGGCCATAGAGGCATTGGATCGAAATCGTGTCTGTTCCGAATACTGGGACTCTCGTCCCTACTCCCGACCTCAAGTACAGATTCTACAAAAACCTCAATCCGGAGAAAGTAGTGAAAATTGCAATAAAATGTCAAAGGAAAGAAATGATGAAGAGGCTCCCAACAATGATCTTGTCCCCACTGGAGTTGATACAACACTGAGAGGCCTATTGAAGAAGGCTAACCTAGAAGAATTAAACTCACTGTACAGAATTTTAAGTGACAATCAGCAAACTGCTGGTCGAGGCCTAGTGACACGGCTTCTTAATGAAGAGATTCATAGTCGTTCCACATGATTCAATTCATTGGTTTCACAATCACAAAACAAGGATTAGAGTCTAAACTTGCTCTGCCAGTTTTTGACTAATGTAAATTCTGCGTTCCTGATTTTCAGGTTGCATGTACATCTTACTCAACCTGCTCATTCTTTATGCTAGAAAAAGAAAGAAAAAAAGAGAAGAAAGCGAGAGGGGTAAGGGGAAGAAAAGGCTGTTCTTCAATCGTATTCTCTGCTGCTTGTAGCAGGGAAGAAGTTAACTTAGGAAGTGTACGATGGATAACACCAATTTTTCTGATTTGGTGTAGTTGGGGGGAAAGGCAAATGTACCAATTTCCCCCACCGCTCCTGTTTTTGTTTGTGGCCAAGAAGAGTATTCACAACGGAAGATGCATCATGTATGGTGGTTGAGCGTATCTTTTACTTCCTTTATCTCATAAATTTGAAGAGAACCCAATTCGTATATGTAAATCTTGCCAGGCTAGCCAGCCAGCCCTGAATATATGTACCAATCTTTGGTGCCCTCAGTCTTTTATAATATTCAGCTGGTATGGCTCCTACCCCAACCCAACCCAACCCAACCCAACCCAACAAGCTCTCAATCAAACATGAGTGGGCCATGCTTTCTAACTTGTAAGTTGTATGGTGATTGGTGACATTGGCCTCGAACCCCACAAGCTCAAAGTCATTAATATTATAATATATTTCTATTTGTATTATTATTAGGAGATTAATACAAATTTCTAAGACATTCCATTCCATTCCTTGTCCAATAAAATTGATTTGATCAAACGCCCAAGTGCCCAAGTCCCCCACTTTTCTAAATCTAATTAAAGGGCAACCAAAAAATGAGCCAATGAAGTCGATGGTCCCCACAAGTCCAAGTCCAAGTCCAAGTCTCAAGTAATTCAATATTCAACATTCAGGCAAAAGCATTGACCAAAAAAAAAAAACATTCAGGCAAAAGATCACATGGTTATGTTATGGATATATATCTGACTCCGAGACTCGAGTCGACTCCAGTGATTCTGCGTCCCCCAAAACACCCAAAACCCTTAAATAGCAAACCAATTCAGACCCAAACAGGGAAATAATTAATAATTAAAAAATTCACCCCCCCTTCCTCGTACGGAATCCCAATCCAACCGTCTCAACTCGCCCACGTGGGTACTAGGCTAGGATTTGTTATCATACGTTAAAGAGAGAGGAGGTTTTTTAAACTATTCTCTGAGTTTTTTGTAGATAGGAAGTGAGCTCGTGGCTTTGCACTTAAGTTGGAGCCCTCCTCTTTATAGATTAGATTAATTTTAAACAGTTTAGACTATCGTTTAAACAATTCATCGGAGATGATATAAGGTAAGGAAAATCCCGATAATAGCACGTTATTTACTGACACGCAACACAAGTGTACACGTGGGAGCACGCGCTTGGTTGGGGTGGGGACCACCAGGCAATGTGCACGTGTCGGCCACCTGAGTCCGACGATTGCGGGATCTTTTGATTCTTCATCTCCCATTGTACGGCCTGCTTGGATTGTTGCGCCAGTTAGGACCTACTACCCTCACCTCACAGCACACACCTAAAGCTTTTGATTCGTGTCTTCCTCCGGCTCGCCTATCACGCTTTGTACTAGTAAATTGCTAATCACTAATTAATTAAATATAATCAAACTCAAACATAACACTGGTTTACTATTAAACCGAGTACATTGGGGCCATGCCGAAACAGCAGATATTCCATAGTACCATTACCACCATAACTGAGATGATGGGTGGAGAGTACTTGTGTAGCAAAGAAAAACAAAATCTGATAAGAACGATGGAGACTTTTCTTTCATTCCAACTTCATTTATTCTTTTGAAATGAACAAATGAGAACAAACTACAACACCACAATCCTAGTTAGAAATCAGAACCAATTCCTAGTTAGAAAGAGCTATATATATAAATATGCATGTTGTTGATATTGGTATATGTTATCAATTAGCTACTTCATCTCATGTACTCTTCAAATCCTAGGTCTCTTTAAATTTAGACCATGATTTCATTTATAACAGAGCGTCAAGCATTGCAGTTTAGTTGCACCAAATTAATCACGATTACAAGTTTCTTCTTCTCAACACAAAAGCATGCATGCAGTTCCATGAAACCCTCAATCTGAACTTTTAACCAATTCTGGAAACTCGAAGAGAAAAACCACATAAACAAAAGAGACTAGAGCTAGCTCTTGGTTCTTCTTCTCATGCTCATAAGAGTCGTAAAAATTGATCTGCTCCGGTCAACGATGAGACCCAAGTGCCATGTGGTAAAGTGCATTAAAATTATAACAACCCAGTTTTGTAACCCTGGTGGGAATGCTATACCTATAGTAGACTGTTTTGATTTTTGACAAATATTTTGAATGGGTTTGTATACTCTTATGCGCGAAGTTTAGACGAAGGAGTTGTTTTTCAATTTTATTTTCCCATACAGACATCACTGTTATCACAATTACCATTTCGTTTCAACACTAATATGTTGAGAAAGATCAATAATTAACCACGGGAACTTATTGACTGAGTTAGAATAATGGTTCAAGATTTGAAAAGGAGATGATACATATATAGGAACGGGAAGAGAAACGGAGGATGTCATGTTTGTCGATCCAAATAAATAAGGCATGAACTTCACAAAAAATACTCCAGCAGCATTCACAAAGTCAATTAAACCTATTCGCATTGCATGAGGGAAAAAAAGTGAATACAAAACCAAAGATATACATGCATCCATGAACTTCACGGAGGAAGAGAGGTGGAGAGGGAGAGGAAAGAGAGAGAATGATATAAGGAACAATCTATAGTTTACACAACTGAAGTGTGAGGATCCAGATATAATACACCATGAAAGTTTATGAGTGAGGTTCCAGATATAGTGCACCATGAAAGTTTATGAGTGTTACATACTTATTGTATGAAAGATATATAAATGCAACATAGTCCTACTACAACAATGCACCATTCAGATTAGAGACTAATATTCTTCAACCAAAAAATCCTGTATTAAGAAATATTTATGCCGTAATTCATTTGGTTGGGAACAAATTAACGAACCTCAAATCCAAATACATATACATCAACATACGTAGCTGGCTACTGGTTTATGCAAAATTCTGAAGCGGCCCCAAAGGCAAAATGCATAGATAATACTCAAAATTCAGCGGTCCTTCCTTGGTGTAAAATTTCTCAACAGTAAAAGTAACGAAACAAAGCTGAATTGTGTATTAATGGTTGCCATTTGGTTTAAAGCATCTCATCTTTTAATCAAACAAACAAAACTCAATTGTTTTTCTGATCTTAAACCAAACTAATTCCCATAAGAATCAATTGAATCTCTAAGCAGACATAAGAAGTTTAAAACACACACAGAAACACGGACATAAAATGTCGACTTCTGGTTTCGAAAGTTTGCCTCTTAAAGATTGAAAAGATAATAAACCCTTGAAAGGTGACATAGCAATATCAGATACAGCCAGCCAGAAGAACCCAACATCGGCCTACCATCCATGGAAAAACAACAATTGATTAATTTAAAGCATTATTGTCCAGGTGGATTAGAAATAAAAGTATGAAATCTTCAAAATATCATTTTATTAAATTCCTTTCAACATTTGTCTTTTAGCTGGCATCAATCACAGCGAAGATAATCTAGGCTTTGTCTTTTTGCCTAATTATAGATCTAATAAGATTATCTTTAAACTAATACGACCTAACCAGATTTGACGATATATAGTGACTAGTCTCTCTCTTTCTCTCACTCGTGAGCTTTTCACTTGTACAATTATCTCTCATTCATGAATCATGCATGATGATTTCCTTAATTTCATGACTATTATATAATTATATATGTGCGTGTGTGGTGGTTGTGGTGGTGGTGGGGAGAGAGAGAGAGAGAGAGAGAGAGAGAGATGGATTAATTTGAGCTTGATTATCTAATTGTGTTTCGTGTTTCATGTTTTAATTATATATACCAAAATGGAAATCACATTTTATGATAGCAGCAAGCTAATGCTAATTAAACCATATGAATAGTACTTTGCGAGGAGGAGGCATATGTGATGTCAATGGGGTTTAATTTGATTGATAATGGGAGACAGACACATGATCTATAAAGAGAAAAGAAGACAAGTAAATAATAATGCAAACAGTCTACTATTAATTCATTGATGATGATCTCATATTGTGCTTCAAGTACAATCATATCATAATATCTGCAACCTACTTTGCTAGCGAGTAAATACACTGCCACCCACAGCTCATCCGATGCCATTTTCCCCTACACTCTCACTCTCCAGAGAGAGTAATAATTTCATCATTCAGTTTCAGAGCTAGCTAGAAAGCTAGATACCCCAGCCAGATCAGAAGAAAAGGGCCAAGGTCCAAGAGGCCCAAACCCCAAAACTATAGGTGTTTTTTTTTCAGACACAGAAAAAAAGCACTTCAACATTTCATCAACATATCACAAAAGAGTTCATAAGATCTTTCCTTTTTTGTGCGAGGTAAAAAGGAACAAAAGTAGAGAGGATAGGGGAGAGAAATATACCCTCACAGAGCCTGACTGACCACTAATTAACTTGTAGTTGTTGTTGTTGTTGTTGAAGAAGCAGCACTACTTGCGATGAGCATGGCATTCATGTTTGGTTTTGGCTTATTGTTATTACTATTATTGTTGTTGTTGTTGGGCCTCTTCCTCTTCTTCTCATAACTCACCCCTCTTGCCTTGGCCTGGAAATCACGAACATCACGCAAGTAGAGCCTCACAGCTCTCGCTCCAAAGGGGTTGGCCTCCGGCCTCCCTCCGTGCTCCTCATAAGCCGCTCTAAGGCGGCCGATGAGGGCATCGAGGCTACCCCAGGCCTGCCGGAGCGGGCAGGGGCAGGGCGCTGGTGGGTTGGGGAGGCCGAAGAAGGGGCAGGTCTGGTTGTGGATCTTGGTCTTGCCAAACTGATCCAGATACCGGAGGAACTCCAGAACATGGGCCCCGCTGCACATCGGCAAAGACAGCGGAGGCCTGTGGTTCCGGAGGTACTGGCAGAAGGTGTTCCAGTCGCGCCGCTTTTGGTTTTCATAGCGGCTTGGAGTTGGAGTTGAAACGGAGTCGGCGGTTGTGGCTGGAGATATTGCTGAGGATGATGGAGTGATCATGGAACTTGTGGAGCTGTTGATTATGGGGGTTTCAAAGGTGATGGGGGGATTCTTGGTGATTGGCTCTGAAACTATGTCCATTGTGGAATGAAAGGTGAGATTTTGGTCCTTGCAGGGTGAGATTTGTTGTGGATGTTGGACCAATTAGTCTTTCTGATCTTCTCCTTTTAGGGTTTCTCTTTCTTGTTGACTAGCTAGCGCCTTATGAATGAGAATAATGGTAGAGAGAGAGAGAGAGAGAGAGAGAGAGGATGTTTTGAAGAGTGTATATTCCTTTCTCACTTGAGCTGTTTTAAAGTGCAAATGAGGGATGAAGGAGGGACTTATTAACATGCCCACAAGAAGATAAATGCTAGACTTTGCATGGCTTCCATAAATATAATTTGTCGGAGAGAGAGAGAGAGAGAGAGGAGATATTAGAAGAAAAGAAAAGGGGTTTTGGACTTTGGAACTTATAACTAATTTGGATTTGTTAAGCCAAAAGAAAAATAGAGAAGATTTAAGAAGAGAAAATAGAAGGAATCAAGGTAAAGGTATGTTTGGGGAAAACTTAGTTTTGAGTAACAGTCTGGTGGTGGAAGAAGAAATCTTGGAAGACTGCAGTTAGATTGGGTGCATCATGATTTGTAAGAAGGAAGATCTTCATATCATATTTTTATTTTGAGGGAAACAAAAAGGCAAAGCACTTAACCATTGGGGGGAGAGAGAGAGAGAGAGAGAGAGAGGGAGCAACTGAGATAGTTAAGACATTAATTGTTGGAGGAGGAAGAGGGAGAGACAGAGAGGACAGAGTGGTTCAGTGAGGGCAGTGGGTGAAGCTAAAGACTGAAGAAGAGTCATGAAAGGTTTCAGTCTGTTTAAGGACTAAGAGTTGAAATAAAGTTAACAGAGAAGAGAGGAGAGAAGAAGTAAAGTGAACAGGAAAAGTGTTTTGCGTTAATAGGACAAGTTAGGCAGCATCGGCCAGACCTTGATGGTGACCATTGCCACAATGACATTTTTAACCACCAACCCCTTCTTATGCGCGTGCAACCACACCCATAACCCAGTATTTCCTTCTCTTCAAAATAACAAATAATTTTTTCTTTAATTTGAGGGCGAGATTAATTTGTCAGTAAAACCAAAAAACAAGTGAAATGAATCGATCAAATCAAGGGTGCATGCATGCAGCATGCTGCTTAGGAGGTAGCTCTGTGTGATGTAACATATTGACGCATGATTTTACTCATAATAATGATACGCCGTAATTAATAATGGCCTTGAAACTAAGTGTTTAAGACTGTTTTACCATTAAATTTGTTTCCTTAAGGGACTCGGTTAGTCGTGAACCAACCTTAACGACGATGGTAAAGCAACAGTTTATTGTTTATGAAAAGGATTGACCAAATCGCATGGCATATCGGGTGCATTGTCAAATTTAAATTTAATATTTGATATTTGACATCTCGCTTTAAAGTAAACAATTTATTAGTTAATTAGCTACCTACATGTTACGTATGCAGGAAACTTCAGAGCAATTACCTGTTTACGATATCATCCAAAAATTGTACTCTACTTGTTTCATTTGCATTCTTTTTTGGGTAAAATGCTTATAGAGGCCAAATTTTACTAGTAATTAATTTTTATCATATATAATTATTAGTAAACAAAAATGAAGGGCAGGATGGCCATATCGCAAATGCAAGTCCACCCATAGGAAAAACGTTTTCACATTCCAAACCCATACAGCATGGGGGCCATTGCTAGATGCTTAGAAGAAGAAGAAACTGAGAAGGAAGTTTGGCAATTTTGAGGGACAAGAGACTTGGCTTGGCCATAAGTAAACATATCTGTTCTTCTCTTAAACATATGGTCTTGGGTGGGAAAAAAACTTGCCTGCACCGGGGATAGGACTACAGTCCTATCCCCCTCCAATCGCAGCCCGCCACGTGTCCAATTTTGTCAGAAAATGGACAAGTGGCGGGCTGCGATTGGAGGGGGATAGGACTGTAGCCCTATCCCCGATGCAGGTAAGTCTCTCTCCTTGGGTGGGCCTCATTATAGGGTAGGATTCTAGGTGCTTTTGTAGACTATCATTTTTACTAGCATGATTGCCAATAGTAATTAAGCACTTAAAACTATAAATTAGTAAAAAGAACAAGGGTAAATAAAACTAACATCCTTTTTACTCACTTATAATATATTTAATTACTAGTTTTTCATGTATTGAATTAGTTATGGTAATATGAAATATACGTAGTTTTTTACTACGCATGATTCTAATACCCATTACAAATAAGTAAACGTGTCATAAGAAATTAAGATATAAAATTGGCTTAGATCAACTGATACAGCAGCAGGATATGCTAATTATGTTTACAAGGAAAACCCTTCTACTTTGGGTAAGGAACAGACTTCCTGCATTTGGAATATCAACCACAAATTTATGATATTGGGATGCCCAATGAACTTCCCAGTACTGGTCCAAACTGTTAGAACCGAGAAAATGTATAGGTATGCTAGCTTCTTCATCTTTTAGAGTAAGCATTGTGCTAAGGAAACGAAACCTCCAGATGATTCACAAACAATACACTTCTTTAATCTTCCTAGCCTAAGCCCTGTTACATATTAGGGAACAAAAGGTGTTAAAACTTTGATATGTTTTTTTAATTTTTTAATTTTAAAGGCAGTCAGTTTGAGGGTTTGTTTGCCCATCAAGTCTACCTCGTTTGTGGTTAAGGTTTCTTATCGAAATAAGAGAAGAGAGGGTACAAAGTTGCCAGAATAAATGAAAATCAAGAGAAGATTTCTCTGGTTTACCTAACATAATCAAATGTGCAAAACTTCTCTCTTCTCACTACTATATATTCTCCCCCCCCTTATCAATGAAAAATACTTGTCTCATTCCCTAGAAGTAGAAACTCCTATTTTATTGACAATCACAGTTTGACATGCGTATATAAATTTTTATTTTTGGATATTTGTCAAATTGTGATTTGGAGGAAGTAGGAATGCCTCATTACAAGGAAGGAGCGAAGATGTGTCCCTTATCAATTAGTTTTTTCTTTCTTTATTTTTAATGGTTTATCCAAATTAAAGACAATAAAAGTTTTCCATTCAGGTAAAATTCTTAGTCAAAAAATATATATTTTTAATTTTTATATCCAAAGAAAGGCAATGTTAAACATGTAACGCGGATTCTCTTTGTAATTTATTTTGTTTTAAAAAAAAAAGGGAAAAGTTGTCAAGAAAGTTAGTGGCACTGGATAGAGGGGAGATAGATATATAGAGAAAGTAGGAGATGAGTATGAGTGAATACGTTAATGTCACTCACAAGTGCTTACAAATCCGAGATTGTAAAGAAACAACCAAGAAAGGAACAAGTTAATGAGGAACCTTCATCGCAATTCCCTCTATACTTTCATCCAAAATCTGGTGTCAGTGTCCCTTGAGAAAGAATTGACTCTCCACTCCATCGCATGCAAATTAATAAAGAGCAAAAGAATATTTCTCCTCCTACTTTTAGCAAACAACCAAGATGGGTTTCTTAATCATTTTCTGGCTCAATATGTTTCGAACTTTAATTTACTTTATATGAGTGATGGGAAATTAATGCTAACATATCCAAACCAATAGTACCCTAATCAATCCTATTGTTGTGTGTGTTATGCTTTTGTTTTTGTCGTAAATTACATGTTTATGGGCAATATCATTTTGTTTTTGGCTAAAATGTTTGTGGGCATTATATGAGTAGTATATTCTATTACGCAATCGGTACTGATGCAAGAAATGGAGATCAAAGATGGGAGTTGTTTGAGTACATTCGAAAAAAGTTAATGACAGTACACGTTACCGTGAGTTTTAAAAAATAACACTCATACCGGACGGATGTTTAAACTTGAAAGTATCTAGCTAACTTTATACGACATGTCGCAACAAAGGCTATCACTGCTCCTCACTATTGCTAATCTGTTGCTGGACTATTGGCCCAATGCGAATTGAAACCCAGGACACGCGGCCAAGTCCAGGGTCGAGGCAACTAAACAAACCGGTCCAGTCCACTAACTCTAAACAAACAGACCGACGTCGTACAGAGAAGAATAATCTGTCCATTTTCCGTCGAAAGGAGCCTGATCTTACAAATGACAAAAGCTTAACCCTCGGGCCTTCAGAGTCTCAAATAAAGAGTGAGCACAGATCTGAGAAAGTGAGAGATGAGAGACACAGAGAGAACCCTAACCCTCCGAACCAAACTTCATTAGATTTATGCCAAAGAAGAAAGGCTCATGCGGCCGAACAATGGCATTGTCTCTGTGATCGGAGCCTTCGTTGGTGACCAGATTCACGAGCATGAAGAAAGAGAGATTTAACGCCTCGATGCGATTCTTGTTTCGCGATATTTAACGCCTCAATGGCCGCCATGGCTTCTACGTCAGAGGCAGTCCTACTGTCCTAGCCGGGCAAGCACGATCGGATCCGTTCAAGAGCTTATCGTTGAAATGGCGTGGGAATTAACAGCAACACCAGAGATCTGATGAGGCTAGGTATGGGAGTTCCAGGACCCGTCAAAGTTGATTTTGAAATTTAGGGTTTAATTAGGTTTGTGATTTAGCGAGTTCATTGATTTTGATTTGATGGAGCGAAAGGGATGAGGGATTAGTAGGTCCGTCAAAGTTGATTTTGAAATTTAGGGTTTACTTAGGTGTATGGTTTAGCGAGATCATTGATTTTGATTTGATAGAGCGAAAGGGCTGAGGAATTAGGTCAATCTTTAATTCAATGCATTAACGAGTGGGCTGCTTGCTTTCAGGTCCTCCAGCTCCAGGGCAGCCTGCTCAAGATGCGATGTGCATTGATAGAGGCGCTGACAGCGGGTCTTCCATATCTTTAAGGTTTTACTCCTTACTTACTCATTCAAGCATGTGGATGTTTCTCTTTTGTAAAATATCATTCTTTTTTAGTTTTTAAATGGAACCAAAATCATATTATTGAATTCTTAACGATATCACATGATATAGAATAGAATGGGAGCGCTTTGAAATATTATGTTATTGTTGAATGATATATCAGCTCGAGAGATGATAGTGTGTTGAGAACTAAACTGATATAGTTTATTTTAGGGAGATTCACAATTATACCCAATATAGGAGCCCAAATTATAAAAAAAAAACCCTACATGAAATGGACTTTAGAAACACACCCAAAGCCCATTCAAACATAACAAAAAGGCTTTTAACTTCTTTTAATAAACAATTTGTTCTCCCCAGGGATACTTGTTTTGTTGATATAACAAGTCTTTATTATTTGATAAGTAGTTTTGAGGATTGCTGCTTCTTCCAGAGACGTGCAAGAAATTTCATAATGTTTTTTTTGTTGTGTTGCACACTTGCACATTCAGTATTGAGAAGTTTCATAATGTATTTTTTGTTAGTTCGTTTGTTATTGTGGTACTTTCATACGCTGCTTCGGTTCAGTTTTGCACAGTGAACTTCTGGTTTATTCCAGTCATATTCCAATTCTGGTTATTATTATTTCTGAGTATCAATCTATCAAATTTTGTCCAATTATTTCTTATTAATTGTTTAACTGTTTTTTTTCCGCAGGAAATCTAAAACCGGAGGCTAGCAGGATTTCACCTCAGATTCCTTTTTTATTTTTTCTCCTTTGCTGTTTTGGTCTCATTTCAATGAAAAGAAGCCTGTACAATATGAATATTTTTATTTTAGTGCTGCGGATTGTAATTAATATTTGTATGCGTGCTTTTCTTTTTCTACTATGCTATATGTAGATAATTCACTATTGAATTGGGCTATACCGTTCTCCGTTTTATTTTCGATCTAAAAATTTGCCCCGTTAAAACAATTGGGTCGTCGAGTAAAGAAACTTCACGCCTACAGCAAGAAATTCAAGCCCGTTTACTCTGGGGTGGTTTTCACGTTATTGGGCCGTTCACTTTGTCCTACTTCATATCACTGCCCCAACTATCATGCTCTTTTCATTTTACTGGGCCGACTATAAGGCCTGTTTCATGTTTTTGGGCCGACTCTGGGCCTTTCTAACGTTTGGGCTTCTTGAGTGGGGGCCAGTTTTGTCGCTTATCCTCTTTATTGGGCCTATTTTGTCGTTTTCTGGCCTTGATTGCGCCTATTTTGTCGTTTATAAGCCCAACAGCAGGCCAATTTGTCGTTTATGCCGACTTCTATGGGCCTATTTTGTCGTTTCTAGTACTTTTGTGGGCTTATTTTGTCGTTAGTGGTACCATGATTTGGGCCTATTTTGTCGTTTCCGGCACCATTGCGGGCTTATTTTGTCGTATTTGACCACCTTTGGGCCTTATTTTTCGTTTATGGTACCTTTGTAGGCCTATTTTGTCGTTAATCGCCCCCAAATTTGGGCCTACTTTTTCGTCTATGAGCCCAACCGTAGGCTAATTTGTCGTTTATGGCATCCATGGGGCATATTTTGTCGTTTTGCCAATCGTTTGGGCCTATTTTGTCGTTTTCTGGGTATTCATGGGCTTTTTTTGTCGTTCACTGTGCTTCAGTGGGCCTATTTTGTCTTTTTGGGCCACTGTTTGGGCCTATTTTGTCGGTTTCTGGGTATTCATGGGCTTTTTTTGTCGTTTACTGTGCTTCAGTGGGCCTATTTTGTCGTTTTCAGCTATTTCTATGGGCCTATTTTCTCGTTTTATGGGTATTCATGGGCTTATTTTGTCGTTTACTGTGCTTCAGTAGGCCTATTTTGTCGTTTTTGGCTATTTCTATGGGCCTATTTTGTCGTTTTATGGGTATTCATGGGCTTATTTCGTCGTTTACTGTGTTTCAGTGGGCCTATTTTGTCTTTTTGGCCCATCATTTGGGCCTATTTTGTCGTTTTATGGGTATTTCTATGGGCCTATTTTGTCGTTTTTGGGTATTCATGGGCTTATTTTGTCGTTTACTGGGTCTTCGGTGGGCCTATTTTGTCTTTTTGGGCCACTGTTTGGGCCTATTTTATCGTTTTCGGCTATTTCTATGTGCCGATTTTGTCTTTTTCCGGTTCATTAGTGGGCCTTTTTTGTCGTTTTTGGACGTCATTGGGCCAATTTTGTTATTTTTGGGCCTTTATTTGTCCTTTTTGGGCTAGTTTTCATGTTCCTCGGCCTACTTTGGGCCATTTTCACATTAATTTGGGCAACCTTTGGGGCTATATTCAGATTATGGGGCCATTAGGGAGCCCATTTTCAAGCTATTGGGCTGACCTTTGGGCTCCTCTGACACCAATTGGGCTGATTATAAGGCTTTTTTTGGTATTATTGGGCTCAAACGTTGGCCCAATTTCCCAGTAATTGGGTCAGCTTTTGGCGCGATTATCATTTTCTTGGGACGGCTTATGCGCCCATTTTTACGTTATTGGGCCTATCATTGGTCCAACTAATGTACTTTTTCAAATTATTGGCCAGTTAAGGAATTGGGTCTTAGTATGTTTTGAGCCTAAACGTTGTACCACTAAGAATTGGGCCTCGTGAGGTACTTGCACTCGTTATAAGTTCTTGGGTAATATGGGCTTACTGGACCAAAAACGTGGTGGAAACATGACAGACGAAGGAGGACAAACATTACAGACATTTTTCCTGAAAAATAAAAAGTGAAAAGATATTCCAGAAATTCCACCGACTCAGCTGCTTCGTCCTAAAGTTTCATCGGCTATAGATCAATTGTAATAAGCTGCAAGAAAACACTCAGTTATCAAACCTTACAATGGAAAACATGCCAAAAATAATAGAGGAACAAGGCAATTTACCTGATTCAGTGAGCAAACAGTCAAATGTCCACTAGTTGTCAGGCAGTGCGAATGCTGCAAAAGACAGCCTTGACATCGGTTCATCAATAAGTAATTAAAATTACGTGAAGAAATGAAACATTATATCACTGCGAATGCCTATAACCTACAAATTCTCATTCCTTTGCAATTAAAAGACATACTGCCATGAACAGAACCTAGAAGAAGAAGAAGACATAAAATCTTAAAGGAATGGATGAGCTTACAAACTTAAGGAAGTTGAACATTCTAAAGGTAGCAATACAGAATCTGAAGGTATGAACTTAACACTCACACACCAAATTGAAGTTTCCGATATCTTCAAAGAATAAATGGGAGGGTTTTATCATAAAAACCAAATTGAAGTTTGGATATCTAAAAAGAATAGAGCATATCATAATGCTGATAGGAAGATAATAGTAGTTAAGATGACATGCCAAAATCGTATCATATCAAGATTTTATGCATACCAACTACGGAAATATTACAGGACTTCAAACCTGTCATATATCAATAAAATAAGTAAATAGGAAGAACAACTTTGTATTAACTTAAAACACAAGACGTGGAAAACTTTTCGTAAGAATATTTGGGACCACCCTAAATGCTACAATTGGCATAACAGAATACATGTGGCAATGAAAAATTGTAGGATACTATATTGCTATGTCCATCACCTTACAATGAAATTTAAAACTTTTTAAATTTTTTTTTAACACAACCAAAAAATGTAATTGTCGATAGATAATGAAAATAATGATAGGGCCATACAACATATTACAGGACATCAAACTTGTCATATCAATAAAATAAGCCCATAGGAAGAACAATTTTTTATTTATTTTAAACACAAGACGTGGACAATTACTACTATATATTTTTAAAGTTTTTATACAGCCATAAAATAGATAATGAAAATAATGATAGGGCAATAACCAAAGTTTTTACGAGATATAATATCATACATAGATTTGCTATACCAATTATTAATGTTCAATCATTGACCCCAAAACTGAATATGGTAGTTTTGGAACTTTCTGAGTATCAAAACCAGCATATATAATATTTTCCCATTCAATAATGATATGCGGACTATGTTAATAACTTCAACTGAATAAGGTAAAGGCCAACCTTTAATAACTTCAATTGGTGTAATGGTGCAAATCAGTCATCGTGATCTTGATAGATAGTGGTGAGGTTGGCTTCCATGTTGTTCCCATGGTCACCTGACATAGAATTACCTGAAATAGATGGGGATACGTCAACGTTTATACATCAAACCATGTTGAAACAATTTAGCGGGCCCAAAAGAAAGCATTAAAAACCTATGGTAGATTCGTGGGAACCACAGCAAGTCCATCACACCAACATGAGCTAGTGCACATCCAAAAAGATCAAATGTCTGAAACAAAGGAAATTATTTTTACTTCTTCTATGAACTACGGGTTATAAACAACATTAAAAGAACCCACATCCCCACAGAAAAACACTAACTCACCCTAACATAGCAATCGCAAAAGAAAACTAGCTAATCAAACATCGTAAATTGCAAAAGAACGCTAGCTAACCCCAAACATTACAATATAAAATAATAATAAAACGCTAGCTAACCCTAACATTACAATCACAAAAGAACGCTAGCTAACCCTAACATTACAATCACAAAAGAACGCTAGCTAACCCCTAACATTACAGTCGCAAAAGAACGCTAAATTCAACCTAACATTGCAATTACAAAAGAAAGCAACAGAAAGCTAAATTAACTCTAACGTTGCAATTGCAAAAGAACACAAGGTAACCCTAACATCACAATCGCAAAAGGACCCTAGCTAACCCCAACATCCCAATCGCAAAAGAACCCTAGCTAATCCTAACATTGCAATCGAAAAAGAACAGCTAACCCTAAGATCGCAAAATAAAACCGGCTCTAACATCAGAGAACACTAAACCTCAAATGAAGGCTCTGGCATCCTTGGATCCCCTTCCGCATGTCCTTGTCGTTGCTGAAGGTAACGAATCCGAAACACCTGGATCTACCGATCTCACGGTCCTTCATGATCTCTCACCGGAGGAGGAAAAGGCTCTCTCCAGCGCCTCATGTCAGTGATCCAGAGGAGCGCACTGACGAAGCATCGGAACTCGATATCCGCGATCTCGGCGGAGGCCATGGCTAAAAAGACGAAGGAGATATGGCATTTTATTTTTAAGAGAAAAGTGAGGAAATGGGATAAAAATGAAAGAGAAGTCTTAGAGTGCGTTATAGCCGCGCGGCTATACTTATTTTAACACGTGGGCACCTAATCGCTAGGCGGGTTCTCTTCTTTCCTACAAATAGTATGGCCGTGTTTTCACACCCGGGCACCTGGACACCTGGGCACCTGGCTGGTCCTTGTTTTATATAAATGGTATAGCCGCGCGGCTATAGTCGGGGTTTGTTTTTGCAAAATAGTAGAGTCGCGCGGCTTTACTTTGGTTTTTTTAATTTTTTTTAATAAATAGTATAGCCGAACGGCTATACCGATTTTTACACGTGGGCGCCTAGGCGCTAGGCGGGTCTCCTCCCCTTTTTTTTATTATTATTATTTATTATTATTATTTATAAATAGTATAGCCGCTAGGCTATAAGAGTTTTAAAAATAATATGGCCGCGCGTCTGTAACCTGGGGTTTTTTTTTTAATTTTTTTTAAATAAATAGTGTAGCCGATCGGCTATACTCTTTATGATACCTTTGGGACCCTTTAAAAAAAAATAAAAAAAAAAATTCTCCGATTTTTTTTTATCCATAAGAGTAGTTTAGAGCATCATCCATTACTATTAGGCGGTTCGTTGAATCTCTATTGTCTCCTTTGATTTTTTTTACTTTGCTAGAGTTATATTACCCATATAAATAATTTCACATTTTCACATTTAATACTCATATTATACACGTACGTATGTATTTTTCAATAATGCATCTGTTTTTCTGTACATGTGATATATGTTTTGAATGAGCCTTCATATCAAAGCGGTGCGTGTAATGTCTCTTCACCTATTAAAACAATTTTTATAAAATAAAACAAAAAACCTAACAGGACACTACCTATTTGGGCCTACATGAGAACATCCCCATATAGCCCATCTATCATCCAGCCCAAGTTTTTAGTTACTGCCACTGCCCATAAAAACAGCAACTAGTGCTTTTTAAACTAAACAGACACCTTCTCATAAACAGAATACCCCGCCAAATTTTCTGTTCTTTCTCCTTTACGGCCATGGCTGTGTTCATGCATTTTCAAGAAACTAAAGAGGGGGCGATAAGCCATCATATCTCAGTTCTTCCGCAAGAACATATAATTGATGTAAAAATGAAACTCCAGAGTGTGATCGATGTACCGCATGAGTTTCTCACCCTCTTCTTCAATGAAGAACTTCACGATGACGAAGAACTTGGCTCCTATCATATTGCTCCAGAATCGACTATTCAGTACACTATTTCCGTTTTTTTCTTTGAGTTGATGGCTGTTGATGCCCTGGTGGAGATAAAACATGGCAGAAATGCAGATGCAGACCTTCATCATGATGGGTAAGCGATTCTTTAGTTTCTTGTTGGTTTCTTGCATGTCTGTAACAGTACTGTTTTTTTTTAGTTCTTTTGTATTTGATATCTCTGTGTGGATGTACAGTACTGTTGATGCCAGTGAAGGGATTTCCAGAAAAGTGAATGAAAACGAGACTGGGAACCTGGCTGATTCTAATCAGACCACAGCAGCTAATGAGTAAGTACACATAAGAATTGGTTTGGCGTTATATTTCTCTTATTTAATTTTTCGTTTCGGTTTCTTTGTTTCTTTATCCTATGATTGTAATATTGAATTAGTTTGCTGGTTATCTTTAGGGTCTTGTTTAGTTTATTTTTTTGAGATAAATGCGATGCTTATTTATTTGATTATTAGTTTTGCTATTGACTAGTGTTTTATTTCCAGGAATTCCATAGTTGTGGTCAAAATTCTGCATGTTGCAATTCACAATGAATATGACATTCAGCTAAATGACAAAGCTACTGTGCTACACTTGAAAAAAGAGATTGAGAAATCACTCAAAGTTCCCATTGCCAAGCAGCTTATACGTTGCAGGAATAGACAGCTCGATGATGATGATATTATCCAGCAGATAAATGATTTTGAATCAGTAGCCTTCCAGCTAATTGAAGCTGCAACGTTCCAACTCATAGAAGCACCAATTGGCATCGGTTCATCTAGGTCATTGACATTGTACTTGAGGATGAATGCGAAAGTTGTGGTGAGAGTGGGAGTCACCAAATCTGATCTCGTACAGTTGCTGAGGGAGAAGCTGACACACCTACCTCCTGCTGCTCATGGTGTAAATCTCCCAGCATTTTTTCTCTTTGCCAATAAGTGCTGCGTGTTGGATGAGGACATGTCCTTCTTCCAGCAAAATGTTCGGGATGGCGAGATTGTGGAGGTCATCCCTCAACCAACTTTGCTGTATGATACCAGCCTTAGTTTAGCACTTTGGATGTGCAAGCATCAACATCGGAGTGGGGAACGGGTTCCCATACAGGTGAACCCATTATGCAAGGTGGAAGTACTCAAGAGTCAGCTGCCGCTAGATTCCCCGGACTACATTGTACCAGCCCATATTTTTTTTACTCTCTTCCACGAACAGCAGAGCACGGGACGACTGTTCAGACTTTGGAATGCTAGGACAATGAAATCTCACCAAATCCGTCGCGGTGACATTCTCTATGTCGTTCCTAATCTGCCTCTCACGCTGACCGTGGAGTCTGTGGATGGGAAGTGCATTTGTCTGCAAGTAAAAGCTACGGATGAAGTTAGGCGACTGCAAGTAAAAGCCACGGATGAAGTTAGGCGAGTGAGAGAGAAGATTGAGCGGCTCAGAGGCAATGAAAAAGATGAATTTCCTCTTCCACCAGCCTACTCCTTCATGTATCAAGGGCAGGTGATGGAGGAGGGAAAGCCACTTTTCTGGCATCAACTAATATGCCAAGGACGTCGTGTGAAGCTGTGTGTTCCACCAGCGGCAGCCTAGATATTAGCTAGCTTTAAACACTGATCATGATGATGTTAGATAATATGTGCCATGCCAAATAATTGGGTGTAATATGAAACAAATATATGAATAAGCATGTGATGTGATGTCATAAAAGCTATACAGAACAGAAGTTTTACTATGGAAGTATTTTGCCATCCCCCTATCTCTCAAAATAGGGAACTAAAGAAACAACCTCAGCAAAACATCTTAGAATAACGAGACTTCAAACTTTAGCTGCAAAAGTTTCCAAAATACTACATATTCCTGCGCTTAATAATTGGTTCACAGCAAATATGTTTAGCAACACAACTTGAACCAGCCGACTCAAAATCCAGTTGGTATAAGCATGACATGGAAGGGTGCCTTTGGGTATTTTCATCCTTTCTTTCCAGCTATCTGACTGATCTTAACATCCCCAAATTTGTGCACACACACAAGGAACGTGTATCACAAAAAGTACCAAACCTTGAATACCTGAAAGTCTTGAAACTGGATAATGTTCCTGGAAATTTAAGATCAGTGATTCCATCCACTGCATAAATTTCCCTGTAGAAGTCCTCCATTGCTTTGATTGTAGCCTCTTACTAGCGGCATGAATCCAAAGGCGGCCTTCAAAATACAAATTCAAGGCTTTAGAAAAAGGCTCATCTCAAAGTTCAAAATTATAATGGCAATGAATATAACCATAATAACAAGAATACCAAAAAAAAAAAACAGAGCAAAAGACCAATTTAACAACAGTAATGCTTGATAATCCTTCATTAAACTTTTTCCTTTTAAAGAACAAAAAGAGAAGATTGAGATCCCACCAAGTAGTTTAGACGTTCAGCGGACAATTCAGCGAGTTAACCAAAAAATCAAATCTTTTGCTCAAAATCAAATGCTTACAAACTAAAAGATTCGCAGCTTACTTAAAGTTTTTTACTTGTTCAGTTCCCAATATATAAAATATTTCTAACACTCACACTCTTTCCCAGCTAGCAAATAGACCACATTCTCAAAAGTTCAAAGCTTAAATACTTCCACGGCAAAGAAGATTAGACTAAAACCAAACGGGTATTGAAAGTTTGAACTGAATTCAGAGGTTTTAAGGTTCAAACCTCTAATAGGAGCGGCCCATGTCCGGCCTTCGATGCGCTTGATACCATAAACCAGCAAAAAAGCCCACGGCTGGCAGGGACGGACCCAGAAATCTTACCTTATGGGGTCATAGTGTAAAAGTTCGAAATTTTTTATAGATCAAAATAACATTAGAAATGAAACGTTCATTCATAATTCATATAAAAAAACAACATTACAAACTACAATTGTCCACGACGAGATTTCATATTTTGAAAACGTAGCATTATAACTTCATTTTTAATACAAGCAAAAATATCATTCTCAACGTAAACAAGCAAATTATCACTCAACAATTGATCTTCCATTTTGGAGAGAAAAGTGAGGAAATGGGATAAAAATGGAAGAGAAGTCTTAGAGTGCGTTATAGCCGCGCGGCTATACTTATTTTAACACGTGGGCACCTAATCGCTAGGCGGGTTCTCTTCTTTCCTACAAATAGTATAGCCGTGTTTTCACACCTGGGCACCTGGGCCCTGAGCTGGTGATGTATACGGTATACTGACAAAATCTTCTTCTAAATTTTATTTTATAATATGGTATATTGAGATTCTTAAGAAAAACTTGGTACATAAAAAAAACCATTATAGGCTATCTTAGTTGGGTCTTTAATTCTTTCCATTATTATAAGTCAGACCTTTTAATAGAGAAAGTCAAATGCTGAGACGCAGGATGACATGAAAAAAGAAAAGAAAATACATAAATTCTGCCACCATAAAACCTTACAAATGAAACTAGCACAGAGAAGTTTCCAAGTTTGGCAAAGATTGAATTATAGCATGTTCAAAGAAGTAGATGGAAATCTCATGTTGGAGACACACAGAAAAGAAACATAAAGGGTGGAGAGCTTGTGTTGTTGTCCCATATCCATTAGTTCCCATTATTTTCATCATGGCCTCCAGTTAGAGCTCGCTGCAACATTTACATAGAAAAGAAACATAAATTTGGGCAACAAGAGAAAAAGAAATTGCAGATTTGCAAACATGTGAACGTGATGATATTAATTAAGTTTACCTGAAAGCATGATAAAGTGTATTGCACATCACTTGCTGAAATTTGGTGGTGGAGAACAATCCTAATGCTGATCAAGAGAACAAAACAAAATTGAAAATTCCAAAATCAAATTTACATTCTGGGAAATTTGGCATTGCCTGATGCATATAAAGATGTTTGATGGGTGAGAGGTGAAGAAGCAGACCTTGACGAGCTCTCTTGCATCATGAGTATACCGTGTTCTTCCAAGTTCTTGAGTAGTTTTTCTGCACTAATATTTGACCCCTCTACAACATGAATATATACCTGCTCATATGCAAAAGTGCATTTGCTCAGAGATGATCCGTGTTTATCAGAAGCACTGACATGATATTACAAGTTTCCAATTACAATAGAAAGCAGGGTTGTTAACATGAGCCGTCATGCATCTGTTAGAACATAAAAGTAAATGGTAGAAACAAATTCAGAGCTGGCCAGACTAAATTTGAGCAAATAATACTCACAATGTTGGTCTCAACGGTATCAATATCTACTCTTAGTCCATTGATTTGATTTAGTCCCTCTGAATTCATCAAAAGAAAAAGAAAAAAAAAGATCCATGAATACAGCTTGAGAAGAGAGAAAGCGATGGCTACCCTCCAAATAAGAGTTCGGTATACAGAACCAATCAAGTAGACTGAGAATTACCTGCTAAAATTTTAGCTCTCTTGTGATCGGTCTCAAGCTTTGCAACATTCTCATGTAAAGCGACCAAAGCAGCAGCACAGAGGATACCAACCTGTCTCATTCCACCTCCTAAGGTTTTCCTGAGCCTTCTAGCCTAAAGTAAGAAGCAAAAACAGCAACGAATCAAATTTTGAAGGAAAAAAGAAAAGAAAAGATGTGATGTTGATCTTTAAGAGATGAATTCTCAAGAATACCTTAGTAATAAAGCTTTTGGAACCAACAATGACAGATCCAACAGGAGCACCAATACCTTTTGACAGACATACCTAGTTTATTATTTAAAAAGAACAAAAAAAAAGGAAAAAAGATTGGTAAGAGAATCCTGCAGAACTGTACTGCATTATAAAGATAATTAAAAAAGCCAGTTATCGGAAGCATACCGAAACTGAATCAGCAGCTTGCACAAGCCTATCAACAGGAACACCAAGTGCCTGTACATGTTTACCATGAATAAGATAACATTTGAACTTGCGGTCTCTTATTAACAAGCCTTCCCTAAGTAACAAATGAAGCTACCGCATTATGTACAGAATTCATTCATTATCCATCAAGTTTAAAACCAAAGTTCAAACTTCAACTAAAATAAATTATAACTAGTTTCTTTTCAGCCTGAACTTCAGTCTATCTAATTACGAAGATCAATCTCTTCCATTTACATTGATCTGTTTCATTCGTCATTGACATGATTATAGCCTTGTTATTTATTATGAAACAGAATATCATCCAAATTGTATACATTAGTCATAACTAAATGCATGGTGAAAATTGACTCACAACTGATGCATTGAAAATGCGAGCCCCATCAATGTGAAGCTTCAAACCATGCTCCTTAGCTATTTCTCCCACTCGGTCTGTGTACTCTGCAGTCAGGCATCTACCACCGCAGCTGCATTTGGCAATTATACCACTTACAAGGCTTTACAAATGATAAAGAAAAGAGCACAGGCTAAGCAACAAAATAGAACTGATTTAGGAGAAATAATCATAACCAACTTCAACTTTGATGGGTTGGTTTCAATTACTTTTATAATATCTGGGAGAAATAAACCAACCTAAAAATTTATTAGGGAAAAAATTGCAGGTTATCTCTTCCTAATTATCCAAACACAGGGAAGTCAAGTCAAGCCCCAAAAGATGGGTGTGGTGGCATTAACAAACAAACACATAGTTGATAAAAGATTCTTCAGAGAAGACAGGAGCCAACTTTGGCTACATATGTTGACCAAAAAAAAAAAAAAAACTTTGGCCACATATATGCAAGTGGGACTGAGAAAAGCCATTAAGGATATCCCAACATTAAAATATACACGGAGCCCCAACATTTCTCAGGCCAATAACATAAATAAAATAAAATAAAATGACCCCCGTCATGGAACACAAAGTAGGAGTCTACCAGATATTATATAAAATGACTAACACTAATGAGGTGCTTACCAAATCGTAATCTGCAACAAGCAAGACAGCTAAATGTGTGTTAATTTTTAATTTTATTTTTTGTAATAAGATAATCCTTACTTTGCATGTGAATTTTCCAAGCAGATAAGCCTTGTCGTCGGATACACAAGCTCCCCTCTCGGGTCCCTGATGGCGGCTTCAATTGAATCAAGATCCATTGTTCCATCTTTGTTGTTTCTGACTGTTCTGGGGTGCACACCTCCAAGTGTTGAGATGCCTCCATTCTCATAAATATGAATGTGGGAATTATGTCCAAGAATTACTTCACTTCCTCTAATGTCACAATGAACAAGCACACTGATGAGGTTTCCCATTGTCCCTGATGGAACAAAAAGCGCTGCTTCCTTGCCCGTGATCTTTGCCATCTCTGATTCTAAGCGGAATGCGGTCGGGTCATTTCCCAGTACATCATCATCAACTTCAGCAGCTGCCATTGCAGCCCGCATTGTTTCGGTTGGTTTAGTGACCGTGTCGGATCGGAGATCCACCGTTTTAGTCACCATTTTTGCTGAAGAAACTAATCCCCAGTTGAACAAAAGGAGAGACACACAGAATCAGTTCATAATCTATTGCCCGGACAGAAATACATAATCAAATTACTAAATGCCGACATATAAACTAATACTTACAGAAATTGTTTTCGGCTACCATTGTTAGATACTTTACGAAAATGATCAATTAGTAGTATGAAAGATTTTGGGGGAAAAACAACAAAACTCAGTTGTTTGAAAAATTATGGCAAACAGTAGTGTGGTTTTGGAAGCAACAAAAAACCAAAATTCCGATGCAAAACGAATCCCTTCATCAACATAGCAAAATAAAACAAAATAGAAAAGCTCTGATGCGAAAAACTTTCATTTATGTTGACCCTAAATTCAAGCGAAATTCAATCTAACTACTCTAATGGGAGAGGTTTTTTTATGGTCAAAACAGAGGACCCAATTAAAATTTTCCAAACTTCAATCCATTTCTAAGTCACTAGACGACCATTCCAATCAACTTGGAACTAGTCTTCAGGAAATTTAAGGCATCTAAGCTTACATGTAAAGAGAGATATATGCAAGCGAAGCTCCCTCTCCAACAAACTAAGCCGAAAGAAAGAAATCCCCTTATTCCTTAAATTGTGGCACTGCAGAGTTTAAGAAACTAGAAAGCCGCAGTTAGTGCAAATTACTTACAAAACCCACAAAAAATAACTAATCATCATCAACATATACATATACAGCACAGAAAATCTGACATGGGATTTACAAGAAAAGGCTTCATGCAAAAGGAGCTTACAAGAAAAAGTTGAGTTGCAATCCGAGAGAGACAGCTTAATTATATTCAGAAAACTTGTTGAATGATTGAAAATGGAACCTTTATATATCATGTAAGGCCAAGAAGAACCCACGAAACTATGGAAGAAAAATCCAAAAAAATGACCTTACCTACCTAACCCACCACCATGCCAATTGCCAATTTCAAATTGTATTCTTTAGACTAGTCAGTGTGTGTACACTGTACAGAGTTACACACAACTTGGAACTGTAGTGATTAGGAATCACGAGGAAAACATCTCAACCAGAAATGGTGTCCTCAGTCCTGACTCATGCAATCCAATCCAACAAAATGACAACTTTAACATGCATGCAACTGATGTGGCTGGCTAAGGCTTATGTCAACAGTTTCCTGACTTAGCCCCAACCCAACAATTCTTTTCTGTTGATTGATAACTCAATTTCATTTACCATTTGAGGTGTGGTTCATTTGGAATCCAAAGATTTTGCAGATAACCTTTCTTATTTCTTTTTCCCAGATAACCTTTCTTATTTCTTTTCCCCATTTGAAGTATGGTTCATTTGGAATCCAAGTGGCCCAATATTATTTTAGCTTCTTAAAGTGATTGGAAGTTTTGCATAATTGTCATCATATATCATTTATGAGACCGCTCCCACAAAGAAGCAACGAAAACGCTACTTTTGTTTTGGCTTTGCGGGGACTGGGCCAATACTACTTTTTTTTCTTCTTCTTCCTGATTTGATGCAGACAATGAAATTGATAAATTGCAGATATTTGAGATGAGAGCTCTGTTTTTTAGTGAATACAGTGAGGGGACTTGCTGGTTTTATCAAGTCCCAGTTGATTGATCACAATTGCTTTGCTTTGGCCAGTGTAAAAGTTACAGATATGACATGGTCTTGTGTTAATGAAATTCAAATTTGTGTACGGTTTATTTATTTATATAAGAGAAGATTATTAAAAGCGATTGTGGAGAAAAAAAACAGAAACAAAGTGGAGGAGAAATATGCGTGTCAATTCAACGATCACACAAGTCGTAAAAAGCTTGGACTTAAGATGGAAAAGGCTTGCTTACCTCTCAGAATCATAAATTAGGAAGCAGAGCAGGAGCCTCTTACTCTTTCTTAGCCGAGTAGTAGATATAGATGACGAAGATAAATGAAGTTTTGGCTAGTCGATAGCACGACCTCCTACAATAAGAACAAAAATAAAAGCACTTGTAAAATGGGTTTATGATTTATCTGTGTTTTCTTTTTGATGAAAATTTATCTGGGTTGGGTTGCATGGTCCATTCTAAGTAAATTTATACTTGCAATTTTTTTAGATGAATCAGCTTCTTATTTACTCAACCAGGAAGAAGCTGCACTGAGTGGAAGAAAGAAGGTAAACCAGACCACAGAAAACCTACAATTACAACTCAAAAACAGAGCAAGAGATATGCCACTTGATGACTATCAATATGATACCTCTGGGTGTGGGCAGGGGCAGTCAGCTAGACAGAGAGAGAGTTTTATATGGCAGCTTCAAGTGTTGAGCGAGCTTATCCAGCAAGATGGCAAAATAGACTTCCTTCCTTGTGCTTAGTCGGAAAAGTTTCAATGCAGTTTCATTATTCAAACACAAGGATAAGTCGACAACTGTTGAAACCATCCGACGTTCATAAAGGATAAGTTGATAATTGTTGAGAGTACCCAATATTTAATGATGAAAGTTTTTTCGACCAAAAAAAATAATGATGAAAGTTTAGCTTAAGAGAATAAAGATATATGAACACTTGTAGCACTGCAGTGTGGTATAACCCCCCCGCAAATAAATAATATTAAGATTAAAGTGGAAGATTAATATTTCCACTTTAGAGTATAGATTCAATAAATGTCAATCCCAACCCAATTGATTCTAGATTTAAATCCTCGTCCAGTCATACCAAAAGATTGTGTTACTGTAATTCTATGCATGTTGTAATGCACTAAGATGATACTTTTATGGTGGACCAAGCAGAGTGCAGAAGCCATACCGGAATATCAAATATAGATAATTGACAGGTACCAGAATAATAAAGAAATCGACGGTAGATATTCTCAAAAAGAAAGAGTTTCAAAAAGAGTTCCTCAATCTCTCTTGTTCTTTTTCATTTTTTTTGGGTCAACAACAATACCTCCTCAATCTAATAACAATTACACCGTATGAAGACCGGAACACGATCTTAATTCTTCTTTCAGGTGAAGGATATGGATTGGCACGATTTTGAAAACGATAATAATTATCTTCCAAATCATCAAGTAGGGAACAATTTCCGATTGACAATCCCATACCGGTTCCCAACTGGGAACCTATCCACCAACGTTTAGACTGGCAAAAGTTCATCACCCAAACTACGCTGTCTCCTCAACATTGAACACGTTTAGATTTGGGTTGCTGCGTTTTCAGCTGAATTCTCTACCTCTCCTTCGACAGAAACAATGGTGGTACTCCCATTAGCAAAACCACCATCCCCTGCTGCTTGAACACTGCCTTCAAGTTCAGTCAAGTTCTGCCGCATCTCAACTTTTTGATCCTCGGCTACAACACTCCTCGTCATATTGTCACTAATTACCCCATCATCAGGATCATTTACCATTTTGTTTTCAGTTGCAACCAGATTGTCAGAAACATTATCTCCTATGCTAACAGAGTCTTGAGCTGCAACCCCACTGGAGTCAGAAACATTATCTCCTATGCTAACAGAGTCTTGAGCTGCAACCCCACTGGAGTATATTACACCTGAGTTAGTGAGCTGAGAATTTGGATCATTCTCTCCTTCCACAGCAGAAGGCATGTTATCAGGTAAATTAACATCCCTGGACACTGTCTCGTGAACTTTTCCAGCATCAATGTCCTTATCACCATCCATTTGCAGATTTGTAGCTTCACCATTAGATGCACCACCAGGAACAGTGCTCCTAAGCTCATCTGAAGCAGTTATAGGATCAGGATTCTCAGTTGCCTGCAGAACAGTCACATTTTCTGTGGCCTCAGCCAACTCTTGATCACAATTCATGGCTGCAATTTCTTCTTGTTTTTCTGCTTGTGCTCTGTATTCATCCATACGGTGCTGTACCCTTTCCAACTCCACTACAAGATCCCCATACCGCTTTTGTAAATTTCGCTCGAGCTCCTTTTGTTTCTGAACTTCCTCCCAGATATTATTTATCCGGTGTGATGCCGCTAATTTTTCTTGCTTCTGTAAAGCTTTGAAGCATTCAAGTTCTTTTGCAGCAGTGTCCATCTGCTTAAAAGTCTCCTCAATTTTTGGCCAAAGACCATCTTTAGCTCGCATCTGGAAAATAAGAAAGGACAAAAGAAGATAAATTTGGTTTCAAACAATTTCCACAACTAAAAAGCAATGCACCTCTCAGTTAATTTATTCAATCTAACATCAGTTGGGTTAAGCAGTTATGCATATGGACCCTGGCACCATACTGTAATAAAATATGTTTCACTTCTATACTAAGGATATAATTACACAAGAAATACACACACACGTTAGAAAAAACTTCGCTAACCAGAGCATGATGGTACTCAACGCAGCCAAAGATCAATACTTTGATACTTTTCATTTTTAGCAACTTTAAGTATCATTCGTTTGGGTTGTGTGCAAAACATCAGATGAAGATGAATCTTATCCAATGCCAAAAATATAAGGAGTCCAATGTCCACCAGCAATTACTTGAATAATTACTAAAGTATGGGTGTTTTGTATATTACAAGAGCTCATACTCAGATAACGAGAGGAAGGCCTATGAATTTTTAGCACAACTCCGGATGAGGTTTTTGTTCCACTTTTCAAAAGTTCTGCGTACAATTCTGTTAATTTAAGCTTTGAAAGTTTATTATACAAACCCCAAGCCTATCAATTGCAAGCATCTTGTACCTTAATGATGCAGAGCAGCGGCTATAAGCTGCTGTCCAGCGACCCAAACATCCCAGAAATACAGAGAATAGAAGGATACAGCAGTATAATTGAAGTTGGAACGAGGATAATTAAGTTCTAGGGCAAAATTCCCAAAGAAAACTCTATAGACTAAAGTCTGAAATTATATTGATATATTGATTAAAAAAACTGCATAAAGAGTCTCTTGATAGCCTATTTATACTAGAATAAAGAAAACCTAATTGACAAAGGAAATTAAAAAACAAAACAGGAAATAAAACAAATCCTAGTAATAGGAAAACAAAAGAAGTAACTATTAATTTAAAGGAACTAGAACCCTAGCCCAATTGACTAAAGAGCCTAAGTAATCTTAAAGAACTTCGTAGATGCTCCTGCATCACTTAAACTTGAAAGTCACATATGATCACTGAATCGCAAAGCAAGAGTGGAAAGTAGCTTATTTGTGAAACCATAAGCTTGAGGGAGGGAGGGAGGGAGGGCAAAGGAATATTCCATTGGAGCACCATTTTGGTTCTCAAAGGAAACTGACAATGGTAAACGTATGCTAGAATAAAAGAACAAGAAATTGTCATAACATCTGTGAAAAAATATGCACACAGAGGCCTTGCTGATGTAGTACAGCCCGTAGGTATTAGATTAAGCACTCAAACAATAGAACATAGAAGAATATAAGACATCGAGGAGACGAAAATATAGATCGAAGGGACGAAAGAAAGGACCAAAATCAGAGAACTGAGAAGGAAGGACAGAAATCACATAGTTTTAAGAGAAGGTTTACTCAACAGCCAAATCTGAATTTTAAAGAACTACACGGGGTTATTTATAGCAAACTAAAAGCTAGACATAATAGGATAAAAATCACTTGCTTAAACAGAAATCCTAACCCAAATAAAATAGGAAACTTAAAACTAGAAATCTGGAAATCTGGAAATGTAGAAAACCTACTAGAATTTGGAAAACCAGAGAATCTAGGAAACTAACAAATATATTAGGAAACTAATAAATTTAGGTCCTACGCGTCCTCCATCACTTGCTCTAACAATAAAAAACTGTTCCTATAACCAAAAAAAAATAATCAGCAAGGATTATAAAAGACAGAATCATACCTCATAACCATATGTGCGAACTTTAACTTTGCTCTCAATGCTTGCTGCCTTCTGGATATCATCCTCCATCTTCTTCTTCACATTCTCAAATTCATTCTGCAATGCTGCAAGTTTCTCCATATTTCCAGCAACGCTTGATAGACCATAAGCACCACGAGTAGGTAAGTACATGAGATCATTTAGGCAAGTTTTGTGTGCTTCAACAAATTCATCAAGGGATTCTTCTTCGTGGCCCATTGCAACACGAAGATACTGAGACTCTTCCTTTATCATTGAATCAGCCTGCTTACAGCAAGGAGATCATAAACAATATGCAGATATATAATCATTAGACATGCTTAAAGGTAGTCTAGAAAAATGAAAGACATTGGATTAAAATG